CGTGCAGGAAATATCCTCAAAATGTATCTTGGAAAGACGTCTTTCCAAGATACCGTATCTTGGAATTCCGTCTTTCCAAGATAATTATCTTGGAATTCCGTCTTTCCAAGATACGGTATCTTGGAATTCCGTCTTTCCAAGATATGTTATCTTGGAATTCCGTCTTTCCAAAATACGTTATCTCGGAAAGACGTCTTTCCGAGATAAATTATCTCGGAAAGACGTCTTAATAAGTGTTTATTCCATGTTTCCAAGATAATTATCTTGGAAACTCTGAAACTCGGAAGGTCAATTTAAGCTTCCGTAGTTTATTAATATGATAGTAAGCACCAAAAATAATTCAATACGTGAATTTTGTTAGTAGACATTTTAAAGTATGCTATCAATAAACCAGCAATATAATATTTTTACCAATTATCAAATGCATAAATTATACCGTTTTAATAGCCGATTTATTGTATGGTCTATAGCACCACTATGGCATACCATCACAATATACTATCAATATCACAATAACCATCACAATAAATTAACATAACTATAATTTGTTCATCACAATAACCTTAGACATCACCATCACTATCACGAATTATCACAATAACCAAAGGCATCACCATAGCCATCACTATCACGTGTCATCGCAATAACATAAGTATTACCAGCACCATAACTATCACCCAAACTATCACGTATCATCACAATAACCAACATTATCACCATAATCATCTCCATCACTATCACCTCATCACAATAACCAACATTATCACTATAACCATTACTCAGTACGCATGACCATAACATCATTATCACATATCATCATAATAACCATAAGCATCACCATAATCATCACTATCGCGTATCATAACCAATAACCAAAAATGTCACCATCATCATAACCATTACTCACGTATTATTACAAAAATTATAAACATAATCATCACCATAACATCACTATCACGTGTCATCACCAATAACCATAAATATCCCAAATAAAATATTGATACCGTCATTATCATTTAATATTTCACTATTTATTCAGTCTTTCAAACATTGTGTACATAACAGAAAGCTAAAAAAAATCTCAAAAAACTATCAAAAGCAGGTTAGTAAAGTCTATATTTATTTAGTTTTTTTTTTATCACCGATTTTTTTCGACATGAAAATATTTAGCAACTTGTTAAAGATTAGATGTTGTTTTTGGTTTACAGCTACTGGCAACATATTTGGAAGCGACGAGGAGTGCTTTACTGATAACAATAATAATGGTAATGGTAATAATAATAATAATAACGGATGCAAAGGGAAACTGGTTTGCCCACCAATGCCACAGGGCTGTGCCTGTCACGCTGGCTGGGAAGGAATTGACTGTAAAACGGGTAAGTTTACACTGGATTAAAATTTACAAAGTCTTCCTCTATTTTAAACCGAAAATTCTCAAAAATTCTTTATAATAATTTGAGAGGTAACACAAATGTAAAATATCTGTTTTCGTAAATAAAAATAATCAATCAATTATAAAAATATAATTAAAGATTGTGTAACTGTTATAATTACTATTTCGTTCTAATAACTTGATAAATATTGACTTGCACGTCATAGTTAAATCTTTTAACAATATTAATAATAGGCCTAACGAAACGAAATAAGTTTGATAATAATAATGATAATAATAATAATAATAATATAACCAGTAGTAATAGTAATTCCAGTATAATGTCTTATTTCAAAATTTTCTACACATCGGCATGTGGACTGATAATCCACGAAACATCAGTAAATTGGACTGTAATTACTAATGTAACTCACAATAAAAAAATTATTATAAATCAAATAAAACTACTGTAAATAAAGATGTATTTAAAAAATGTACTTATAACGTATAATGTAATGTAGCATAATTTTTAAAAATGTATCTATGATAAACAGCATTATTATTTTCAACTATGTTGTTATATTTAGAATGTGAAAATGGTAAGTATGGCGCTGACTGTCTACAAGATTGTCATTGTGACTTTGACAATTGTGATACTTCCAGAGGCTGTGAGGAGAATGCAACATGCCACTCTGGCTACAAGAGCCCACGTTGTTTAGGTAAAAACCAATTCATTATTACTATTAGGTGAATTGTAAAAGAAAATTTACTGCATGTGTTTGTGCATTGTAAGAAGTGTTCCCCTTTATGGGTTTTTGTGAAAAACTTTTTGTTTGAAATATACCAGGAAATTTACTCATTTTAAACTCATTTTAGTTTTGGCAACAAAAGATTACCAAGTATTAAAAATTCTATTTTGCTTTTTAACAAAATATTATATTTAGGCCCGCAAAATACAAAATAGTAAACCTCACTACAAAAACCTTAGATTTATATTAGAGAGATTCAAGAAAATATTTAATGCTTAAAGAAGGGCGTGATGGGTTTAAGGTGCTGTTTGTTTATTTTTTATTTTGGTTTTTGTTCTTTTTGTGTGTCAGTGTATGTGTCCGACTTTAGTTAGACTTTGTGGTTTGATTAAAATAAAGAAAAAGGAAGAATTGTGTAAGATAAGAAGCTTGGTGGTGTTTTGGCGTGGCGGTTGCGGTTCTGCTACTATAAGAGATACACATTCACCAACCAATGGCGGCGTCATGGTTTTTCGACGGGAAAGAGTGGATTTTCATAAAATACACATTCACCACCCAGATGTATAGAAAACCTTCTTCTCCTCATCATCATAATTATTATCATCAACATCATCATCATCCTCATCATTATTATTATCATCACCATCATCATCATAATTATCATCATTAGGCCTATTAGGAGTGATGTTTTGACCTCCTGACGTTTTATCATACCGAATACTCAGTACGTTCCCAAAATATAAGTGATTCAGGTGGGAATCGAACCCAGCGGATCAAGTGTTAGTTTACTTGAACCTACCGTTTAGAGACAGGCTTATGTTTATCTGCGCGCTATATACTCAATCGTCTATTATTATTATCATTATTATTATTATTATTATTATTATTATTATTATTATTATTATTATTATTATTATTATTATTATTATTATTATAATTATTATTATTATTATTATTATTATTATTATTATTATTATGATTATTATTATTATTATTATTATTATTATTATACTGTCCAAAAGTGGACCGCATTCAGGAATGATGAAGATAGTGGGGCATGGCAATTTTTTTTTGCTATGGCTCAAGCAGATTTTGTAAGACAGAGTTTATGTTCTGGTCATTGGAGAAATAAAATAATTTGAATTAGGGGCTTGCAATCGGTTTCAAAATATCATAATGGTCGTTAACAATCTGAATTTTTTATATGATAAATTAAAATTTATATTTCTTACTTATTCATATAACATTTTACGTAGATCTATGTGACTTTTTTTTTAAATTCTATTAATATTGGACAATGAATTACAGTAAAGTATACAGAAAACTCAAACGCCAAAGATTATCAAAATGCGAATCGTATTATCCAATTCCCCTATACAGTATGTGATTCAAATTCAGGGCCCGGTTGATTGCATGACAGGAGCCCAAGGGGACTATCGTCCCTGAAGAAAGACTCATAATTGGTGGTCATTTAGCAAAAGAAAAATAATTGAAACATATATCTAAGTATATCTAATAATATTTCCAATGATAATTGGTTTTGGTATTGATCACGTTTATTGTATGTTTCAGTATCCAGCGAAGAATCGAGTGATAGAACAACCTCTATGAAAACACCATATGGTAATGTACCTCGAGGTCAAAATAATACTAACTTATCGTTTTTAATGCATCTAGTTTATGATATACAACTTCAATATCTGCTTTATATACGCATGGAATATATATATTAACATGAGATAAGCAATAAGGTGATTTTGCCGGCCATAGTCTAGACCCAGGCTAGGCCATTTATGAGATAACCAGAGTATTGATTTAATTAAAGCAGTTTTTAGCGATTTATCGGGGCACTAATTGAAAAATGTTTATGTCAAATTATTATGGACCTATAATTCGTATTATAACTCAATGATAACTTTATCAACTGCGTTGCATGATTGAATGAATAAATAAATTAATTAATTGATTAATTATTCGGTTGGTTGGTTGGTTGGTTGGTTGGTTGAATTAATTAATTAATTAATTAATTGCATTCCTTCATCCATTCATTCGTTATATAATTAATAAATTCATTCATTCATTCATTCACTGTAGTGCTTTTATAGCAGCGCCTAATAGCATGGAAACAACTCTTGGAAACGTACCTTGATGCCAATGGGCCTATAATTTGTATTATAGTTCCATAATAGTTTGTAAACGTGTACCATTCAATCACGAACCCTGTTTGTGATGATGAATGGTTTACTGTCAGTTAATGTCTAAAAGTCTAACCACTTCTTTCACAACAGTGCCTTGTTTATATGATTTACTGGACATTTATTTCAAACACTAACGTCAATATTCTCTCTAAATGTGCGATGTTTTCTTGTAATAAGACTTATATAACATAAATCATAGGCTCTGCTGTAAAAATTCATTCATTGTAGTGCTTTTATAGCAGCGCCTAATAGTATGGAAACCACTCTTGGAAACGTACCTTGATGACAATGGACCTATAATTCGTATAATAGTTTCATAATAGTTTGTAAATGTGTACCATTCAATCACGAACACTGTTTGTGATGATGAATGGTTTACTGTCAGTTAATGTCTAAAAGTCTAACCTCTTCTTTCACAACAGTGCCTTGTTTATATGATTTACTGGACTTTTATTTCATACTAACGTAAATATTCTCTCTAAATGTGCGATGTTTTCTTGTAATAAGACTTATATAACATAAATCATAGGCTCTGCTGTAAAAACACTAAAATGAATGAATGCATTAATTAATTAATTAATTAATCTAAATAACATAAATCATAATCTAACAATTTCCCACGTGCATATTTCAGCAACAAATTCCAACGGACCGTCGAGTGATAGAACGACCAGTATGGAAACTACTCATGGTAATGTACCTTGATGTCAAATTATGATGAACCTATAATTCGTATTATAGCTCAATAATAATTTGTAAATGTGAACTATTCCATCGCCAACCCTGTCGATAATGATGTTAAAGAATGGTATGTGTCAGTTAATATAAGTCTAACCTCTTCTTTTGCAGCAGCGCCATAGGTTAATATAACTTACTGGAGTTTTATTCTAAACACATAACGGACATCTCTCTTAATGTGCAAGTTTTTCTTGTGAGAAGATCGCAATAACATAAATCGTGGTCTAACAGTTTTCAATGTTTATATGTTTCAGCAACAAGTACCATCGGACCAACTAGTGATAGAACGACCAGCTTGGAAACCACTTATGGTAATGTACCTTGATGTCAAATTAGTTTTGGACCTATAATTCGTATTATAGCTCAATGATAATTTGTAAATGTGAACCATTCCATCGCCAACCCTGTCGATGATGATGTTGAAGAATGGTTTATGTCAGTTAATATAAGTCTAACCTCTTCGTTTGCAACAGCGCCATAGGTTAATATAACTTACTGGAGTCTTATTCTAAACACATAACGAACATATATTCTCTTAATGTGCAAGTTTTTCTTGTGAGAAGATCGAAATAACATAAATCGTGGTCTAACAGTTTTCAACGTTTATATGTTTCAGCAACAAACACCAACGGACCAACGAGGGATAGAACGACCAGCATGGAAACCACTCATGGTAATGCCCCCTGATGCAAAATTAGTTTTGGACTTTTAATTTGTACTGTAGCTCCAGGATAGTTTGTAAAGAAAATTAAGATGGTTTATGTTTAATACGAGTCGGAACTTTCTTTGCAGCATCGCATTAGGTTAATAATTTACTAAAGTTTTATTCTGAACACTAATGTAAATATTCTCTATTAATCTGGAAGTGTTTCTTGTGAGAAGATCGTAATACTATAAATTGAGTCTACGTGTTTTTCACTTTATATTTCAGCAACAAATTCCCACGGACCTTCGAGTGATAGAACAACGAGTATGGAAACCTCTCATGGTAATGTATATTGGTAATGTGTCTGTCAAATTGACATGGACCTATAATACGTATTATAGCTCCATGGTAATTTGTAAATGCGTATCAGCCAATCGCGAACCCTCTCGGTGACAATGATGAAGAATGGTTTAGGTCAGTTAATTTAAGTCTGTCTAACCTTTTTTTTTTTTACAGCATCTCACAGGTTAGTAAAAGGTACAAGAATTTTTTAACTTGCAGATAAGATTTTGGAGATTTTTCAGATTACAAATGACGAGATAAATTTCAAGACGGACATCCTGATTCATCGAATAATCTTTGGACATAGTCTTCAAAAGGGCTGGCTATTCTTGCACGATTGCACACCGGGGGACAAGTTAAATGCATTCAACCTTGATAACGACAACACGAACGAAAAGAATATGTCGGGAACAATCTTATTGAAACATGTAATTCCTTTTGAATTTCACGACGATAACATTCTATTAAGAGACAGAAACTGTTGTAAGGATTTTGTTATTAAGAGCCTATAAATATAATTTTCGAGCAAAAATGTGAATAATTACTAGTCAAAATGTTGCTTCAAATTTAGATGTTGTGCCCAGTGGCGTATCTGGGGAGTGCAGGCACTCCAGTCGCGCCCCCTCCCCCATTAAAAGTGTCGGAAGTAAAAAAAAAACACCTGAAGTAGTTACAAGTCAACTTATTTTTGCGACCTAGCGCCCCTCAATTAATCATCGATTCCCCCATTCCACATTCGTACCCCCATCAGCCCCATTCAAGACTCCTAGATACCCCACTAGTGCCAGTGTATTTCGTCCCTTCCCATTTGATGTGTTGTCTCTTGCATTCGATAGCAACTTCTCTCCAACTCCTGATGTACGAGTTCATTCTCTGTATTACAATAGGTATGATTGCCCACCTAGTTAAAAAAATAGTTTTTGCTGATTTACAGACACTTTTCTGCAAAAATGCTTAAACTTGTTACCAGCCAATTTAGGGGTCTATACAAAATAATACAGAAAAGGTGTCATTTAAGTGTTTGTTAATTGACGGGTAATTATTTTTCTCATCAAATTTCTAATTGTGAATTATTAACGGAAATATACAAGTTAGACAATTCAAATATGCATTTGATATTTTTTTATTTATTTATTTATTTTTTTTTTTTTTTTTTTTGCTTATGGCAGACAGCGCATTTTTAATACGTAATATGCTTATATTCATTTACTTAACTTTATTTTTCAGATATAGTATCCAGTATAACTATTGCACATGAATGGACTAAAACAACAGATGGCGTATTTTATCCGCCCTCAAATTTCATATTCATTAACAACTTTTTAACTTTTAAGCAATTGAACAATAGCATCAATCTCGTATTCCTGACACAATCATGGAGATAATAACTTTACATTATAGAAATGTTGGATTGGATTTCATTGTTGTGAATACCACAAGAAATAACCCACGAAATTCTGAAGACAGCGGGTTCTACTGATGTTGAATCGGGCAGTCACCGGAAGAAATTTCCTGGTTTTTCCGAAGTACATCTTTTCTTTAACGTGCAAATGGGTCATAACATTCAACGGTTTTTAACGTCTCATCCGAAAGACAGTGCGCTAATGAGACTCAGTTGCATTTCAGCCATCCAGTAAAAACAAGGATAGCAGAGCGGATAGGTTTTTAATTGCTTAAAGATGTTCACGGTTCAGCGCACACATAGTTGCTACATCATTATTTTATTAACATAAAATAAGAATATTGAGTATGTCACGTGATCAGATTGCCATGGAATATCAAAAACATTTGTACTGTATCACGTCATGTCTTTAAATTTTGATAAAATTTTAAACCATATTGAATATCATTATATAAATATATATATATATATATATAATTATTATTATTATATTAATATTATATTATTAGGACTATTATTATTATTATTATATTGTTATTATATTATTATTATTATTATTATATTAAATTATTATTAGTATTATCATTATTATTATTATTATTATTATTATTATTATTATTATTATTATTGTCCATTCTTTGATTCCTCATTTTTTGTTTTATATATATATATAAAACAAAGAATATATATTATTATGGTGATATAAATTATACTGCATCTTTGCCATTCTCAAAAAAATTATCAAGCAAGAAACCAAAATGATTATATTATAAGAAGACTCAATTTTGGACAGCAAAGTGTGGTATTCAGAGGCAGTAAAACATACAATATAATTGCTTGGCTCACACTGTCAAAGCAATAACATTGGAGCTAGTAAACCTAGTATACACATTTATCTAAATAATAAACATTTTGTAAAACTTCATGACGCTCAAATGTAGAGAACAATGTTATTATAATTGTATTTAATTATCTAATACATAATATAATATGTATATAATATAATATATTAATGTAATTATATTATAATAACATTGTTATTATTATTATTATTATTATTATTATTATCATTATTATCATTATTATTATTATTATTATCATTATTATTATTATTGTATTAATATTATTATTATTTTTATTGTTATATATATTATTATTACTTCTTATTATAAATGTGTCATGATGTACGTCTGTATAATATTTACACCGGTCATGAGCCTAAACGCTATGCCTACTTCATGACCTGTTTCCTGTTAGTTTACTTTAACTATTTAATTTACATCGTTATACACAAGCATTTCACCATTGTTGTATATTTAAAATTATTCTGTATGAAACGATTGAAATGAAATAAATGGCACATCAGGGAACAGTTAAATTACATGGAATTTAACTGTTCCCTGGGCTCATGGTTCCGCGAATAGACGTAGAAATAAATCGTATAGGCCTAATAATTAATCAAAACTATTTTAATAATCATCCTATTAAAAGGTGATTTAACGATGCAGGTATTTGTCATCATCAATCAATCAGTCATTTGAGAGACCTGCATTTATTTGACTTTTAACACGAAACCGTTTCACAATTTACGTGATTTGTTAGTAGTAAGATAGTGATAGTAATTCATAATAATAACTTTAATCTGAACTTGTTTAACTGAATTAAATCTGAAAATCTGTCCTTTTCACAGTTTGTGATTTTGTTTGTTTACAGAAGTAAGATAATGATAGTAGAGTTTATAATGATAATTTTAATATATTTGAACAATCCTAACTGATAGTGAATGTTTGTTTTATGCAAAATGATACATTTTAATTATTAAATAAACCGAATTTTTAATCACAATAATCAATTTCACGATAAACATAGACTAACATGCAGATTTCTTTCCATTTTATATGACAAAAACGTCGTATTTTTCATATCAGTTATATCTTTATAATCAATCCGGAACCATAAAAAATATGGATTCCTCGCCAGTAATATTAATAATAATAATAATAATAATAATATTAATAGTAATAATGATAATGATAATAATATTGTTAATGATACCATTAAAATAATTATATAATACACAGTAGTTAATAATAATAAACATAATTATAATAATTATAATTATATTGTTTTACATTGTTCACAATCTCGCTTAACCTCATCATCAATGAAAATAACATTGTTAATGATACCAGTAAAATATTTATAATAATAATACAGAGTAGTTAATATTGTTTTCATTGTTGATGTATACAATCTCGCTTAACCTCATATGTCATCAATAAAAATAATATACTTGTGAGCCCGTTTAACCATAAATGAAAGATAACAATAGTGAACGGCTGTAATTCTTTTTTTCTTTTTTTTTAAATTCTGAATGGCAGTCAATCTTAATATTATCGACCAAAAATGGTTCTTGCTATTTCTGGGAACCATCAATTATATTTCTTCGGAAGTGTTTACTGTTGTCAAACAATTACTCTATACAACTATTTAAATGTGACCTTCGAATAACCATGTTTACATATTGCTGCATTATATAGAATTTTATCCACTAAGTCCTTCTTGGCTTTTATTAAACCTTACAGTATAGTGTTTATGTAGGTTACATATAACTAAAGTATAAGTTAATACTAAATTTCAATTTAGTAGTAGTAGTTTTTAATTCGTGTTTCATCATTATTATTTTTATTATTATTATTATTATTATTATTATTATTATTATTATTATTATTATTACTTAATTTTATTTTTTGTTTTATTTCGTTATTTATTCTATTTTTTTCATTTTATTTTTGTTAATATATTTATTATGTACATAAGTATATAGGCCATTATTTTATATACTAGTAATATGTGATAATTGTACATAAAGTTGCGTTTCAGTGGTAGCCTTTTTCTATAGTCTACAAATCATAATTATATTATTTATCATGAAAAAAAAATTATGGAATATGATCAAAAAACGAAAATGTGTTGAGAAGTTAATGTTACATTCTATGTTAAATTTATCTTATATATTTAAAATAGACATGACTTTAAGTTATTATATTACGAGTATTAGCAATGTGAATTATAGGAAATTACTAACAAATTCAGGATTTCTTGAGTTTGAAATTCAAAAGTGGAGATGGGAGAAAGTTAATAAATAAAAGATTTTGTAAAATGTGTAACAATGATTATGTAGAAGATAAATTTGATTTTATTTTGGAATGCAATTTTTAATGTTTATTTAAGAACTACATACATCCCACAATTGTATTATTTATACCCAACCATTGATAAGATTTGCTTATTATTTTCGAATTTAGGAAAACATATGTACTTTTTGTTTGAAAGGAGAAGTAATTACGTTAATCATGGAGGAGTAAAATATATTCCTCAATGCTTTTAAGCCAATCAATATGTTTATTATATTTATTTATTTTGCATTTGGGCCAAATGCCTATATACGTAAACACATTTCATGTGGAGCTGAAAGAAAGTTCAATAGTTTGTAAAATAATCTTAACGTTTTTATTCTTTAAAGTATATAATCATCACTTAAATTTCATATCTTGGGATAATCTTTTAGAATATGAATACATACAGTCAAAACAGTATAAGGAAATTTGTTTAACTTCTTCATTTTAACGAGTAATTAAACGGTGTCAATTGAAATATATTTTGTGGTGTAATAAATAGATAAATTCAGAACTGTTTTGCGATAGTGCAGTAATTATCCATAAAGTTTTAACGTTAAAGAAGAGGAATGATGAAAATCTCCTAAACTGGAATTCGCACCCTAAGCCATCTGGCGTCTATATGAACATTATAGCATCAATATTTTTTTTATTTAATGTGTATTTTTGTTGGAATTAAGTCTTGAACTTCCATTCTTCGGTGGTAATACTATAGTACGCATTTGATGTGTTTATGAAATGTAGTAAATAAATAAGTTATTATCATCATCCTTGTTTTATTGTCCTTTCTGTAATTCCTAATGTTTTATTCAATAAATGGCGCGTAATTCGAATTTCCGTTGTCGACGGCTCCCCGTCCTCTTGCGTAAAGTAGGCACTTTACGCAACAGGACGGGTGGACGGCGGTTTTGTGCTCATCAGAGCGTGAAGACCACAGTAAACAATAGGGCGCTTAACCAGAATTCCGTTGTCGACGGCTTCCCGTCCTCTTGCGAATGTCCCAAAACGCACGTGTTTGTACGTGAGTTTACGCTATCGTTTTGTGGGACCTTAGTAACAATATCCAAGGGCGGGGCTTAGTTTTCAATTGTTTACAGGAGAATTTAGTTATTCATGGATCATGAATTTAATGTAGGCCTATGCGTCCAGCGATGGCTACAGAAATTTGCCGACATTGGAGGATATGAGGGTCCGAACCAGGGCCCGACTGGAACGGCTTCTGTCAGTCTCCAAGAATAAAAATCATTGGCAGGACTCACGCAGCAAATTATTATGGATAGTATAGCCTAAAATTGTATATTTAGACCATCAATAGGGATTGGCAATCAAAATAACGTTATTTGGTAGCTGCCGGCAGGAGGGAGGGGTTGCGTGGCAATTCCTCCCTGACCCCATGATGGCGCCACCACTGTTATGATCAGGCATCTTTAAAACTCTAGCTTGTAGTAATATATTATATTATCATTGATTTTTCGCCAGCCTCAATGAATAGTATATCACTTGCACATACTTAGTACGATGCTGGTACCATACCGTACTACAGTAATAACCATAGTAATAATAATATATAATAATAAAAATGATAATTATCAATAATTATAATAAGAAAGACAATGACAATGACAAAAATAGGGCCGGCCTATTGATAATGATATTGATGCCGATAACAATGATAAAGACAACGATTGTATCATCTTCTTATTTTATATACATGTTGTTTACGTTTAATATAGGCCTACATGCAGATCAACCCATTAATATATGCTGTAATAATAATCATGTAGTAATTGATAACGAGATAATGATTTGTAATAATTATATAATAATCATAATAATAATAATAATAATAATTATTATTATTATTATTATTATTATACAAATAATAATACAAATAATATGTTTATTTGTTTTTTTAACATCATTGTTATTTTTAGAAAAATACAAGAAATATTATACGTAAATTATACATAATTATACATAAATATTTCTTTTAGCTAAGCGATAACCAATCTGGTAATTGTAGTAAGCGATCGCATGAGAGTATCTTTGCTACTGACTGAACATGTGTGCTAATTTGCTACATAACACGATTGAGATAATTTTATGATAAATCTAAAATCTTTTTATTACGTCGGTATGGAAAAGATAGCAGAGTATGTTCTTAATATTTGTACATGGACAAAGTTCAATCAGATAATGACCTGGTGGTATTGTAACTCCACCCAATTAATACACTTATAACCACACCAGCGATGATAACAATAAAGTGTGACCTCTGTTATTGTAGACACATACGAACTTCAGAAAATGGCTCCTGAGGCGCATAATTTTCTTGTTTCATACTAACCTAAGTCTAAAGACGTTTCTATGCACGAAAGTAGAGGATAGACAGTCTCACTATGGCGTCGTCGCAACTTGTAACACTGGATATAATTGTTATTACAATATATTTTGTTTTCGTCATCGCAGTAGGTCTAGGTGTAAGTACTGCATGTTATTTATTTATTTATTTATTTATTTATTTATTTATTTATTTATTTATTTATTTATTTATTTATTTATTTATTTATTTATTTATTTATTTATTTATTTATTTATTTATTTATTTATTTATTTATTTATTTATTTATTTATTTATTTATTTATTTATTTATTTATTTATTTATTTATTTATTTATTTATTTATTTATTTATTTATTTATTTATTTATTTATTTATTTATTTATTTATTTATTTATTTATTTATTTATTTATTTATTTATTTATTTATTTATTTATTTATTTATTTATTTATTTATTTATTTATTTATTTATTTATTTATTTATTTATTTATTTATTTATTTATTTATTTATTTATTTATTTATTTATTTATTTATTTATTTATTTATTTATTTATTTATTTATTTATTTATTTATTTATTTATTTATTTATTTATTTATTTATTTATTTATTTATTTATTTATTTATTTATTTATTTATTTATTTATTTATTTATTTATTTATTTATTTATTTATTTATTTATTTATTTATTTATTTATTTATTTATTTATTTATTTATTTATTTATTTATTTATTTATTTATTTATTTATTTATTTATTTATTTATTTATTTATTTATTTATTTATTTATTTATTTATTTATTTATTTATTTATTTATTTATTTATTTATTTATTTATTTATTTATTTATTTATTTATTTATTTATTTATTTATTTATTTATTTATTTATTTATTTATTTATTTATTTATTTATTTATTTATTTATTTATTTATTTATTTATTTATTTATTTATTTATTTATTTATTTATTTATTTATTTATTTATTTATTTATTTATTTATTTATTTATTTATTTATTTATTTATTTATTTATTTATTTATTTATTTATTTATTTATTTATTTATTTATTTATTTATTTATTTATTTATTTATTTATTTATCCTATTTATTTATTTATTTATTTATTTATCCTATTTATTTATCCTATTTAATATCTTTATATGTTTTATCTAGGTTGGAGCATCCTTGTTTGCCAGTAATATTGGGAGTGAGCACTTTGTTGGACTCGCTGGATCAGGGGCTGCTGCTGGTTTAGGGGTCGCTGCGTTTGAAATAAACGTAAGAGATAGTTCGTTGTAGCCTCTTTTATGTTTAGGCCTAATCTAATAATTTTTCAGTAAAAAAAAAAGGAGGCCTGAAGAAAATGGACTATTTCCTAGGTGCAAGAAGATGAATTTCACCAAAATTGGTTACTTTTTTTTTTAGTGAAAAATCATTCCTAAAAGAAGGATTGTATTCTTAATAGTAAAAACACTGGTAAATTTCACTCTAGGTAGAGTGAAACTTTATTCTTTTTCACTCTTTTTTATTTCACTCTATTAATGTAAGCTTTATAGGCACTCTTTTACTTGTTTTCCCACTCGTTGTCATTTAGAGAACAGCTTGTGTATTAAACTCTGTCTGTAAGCCAAATTTTAGAAATGCTTGAACTTGAACACAGACTCTAGAACATGAAGCTAAAATTGAAAAAAATATATAAAATATAAATTAGCTTGTATTGGAGTACCGTACTCCCTGTTTCTCCTTTACATTTGCTTACTTTGTATATTTAAGTTAATAAATTTCAATTGGATTTTTGAGCTAAAAAGTTAAAATGATAATAATAATAATACCATATGCCTACCAATATAGTTTTGCAAAGTTTTTTTTTTTTACTTTTGCAAATCTGCGAAAGCGTAATTGTTTCCATCTGCATCTTATTGAAAGATGATAAATGATCATTTGAATTTAGCAAATCGATGTTTTTAGTCAGTTCTATAGGTTTTGCTGTAAATATGTCTACGTTGTTAACATACCGCAATAGCAGCACATATAAGTCAATGAAACATTAATATAAGCAAGCATACTCAACACTAGTCACTAAGCACACGTTCGGTAGTCTAGAGGATGGAAATAGGCTAGTTATCTGGAGGTCTTGGGTTCGATTCCACCCGAATCACTTGCGATTTTTTCACAAGTATTTGGAAACGTACTGAGTTTGGTACGATTACACGTCATGTAGGCCAAACATCACTCCTAATACTTTTTGACGCAAACTCAAATCGAAAAAGCTTTTATTTTTCTCACTTAATTTATGGTTTGAAGGGATATAGAAATTCCTCTCGTTCACGGAAATCTTCTCGTAGGCCTATTTGTTAACAAAATTACATTCGATAAGCCTTACCATGTTTGCGAAAGCATTCGTGAGTACAACATAACGGAACACGAAGATAATCTTGTTTATTTGTGATTTCAATTAGTGCACTTTATTATCATCATACCAATAGGTGTGCAAATATACTAAAAATACGTCTGGGTAATGAGAAAAAAAGGCAAACATACAGTGCGACTTTTTAAGTTACCATAAATGCGGAAGGAGAACAACCTACATAGCAGTACTACTGCATTATGTTGTATTGGCTAAAAAAACTTGTATAGTACACAGTACACAATAAAAACTAAGTTTTGAAGCGTCCGGTATAAAGTGAAGTAAAAGTTAACGTAAATATCAACATTAATGCACAGATACTGCATAAGCCTAATATTGGATTGAGTGGTTATACTAATATACAATAAAACATAGGCCTGTCACAAAATAGATAAATTGAATAAATAATAATTTTAGGTGTCAACCTATACACCTTATTCCAAAAAAATATTTCATTTAGGAGCTGTAGGAACTGCCGAAACTTTCTTTGTACAGTAATAATAATTAATGTTAATATATGTCGAAGTGCTCCGCCTTCAGTACGTAGGCCTATATATTTATGAATTTATATTTTCTCGTATCTTTCTCCAGGCGCTGTTTTTCTGTCAGCTGCTAGGATGGGTATTCCTACCTGTGTATATGGCAGGCGGGGTGTACACCATGCCTGACTACCTCCAGAAGCGTTTCGGCAGACAGCGATTGCGAATGTACATCGCCTTCCTCTCGCTCCTCCTCTACATCTTCACAAAAATCTCGGTAAGATCCCGTATTAGGCTACAGCGATCGAGTGAGTTGTAATAAACATACTGTAACAAATCTGCCATTTGTGTTTTTGTTTAATGTGTAAGCTTTGCGGAACAGAGTTAACATTAGACTCATTAAACACTACAGCGTATTTTTGTAGCTACTAGGCCTATATATGGTGAACACACTCACTCTATGTGCAAAATCAAAGAGAATGTTAATTTATTTTTATCTGAAACAGGACAAATAGGGAGAAACTTTGTACATTGAGGCGAGTCGAGTGGCCGAGCGGTAAGGCAGGGGTGCCGCTAGCTACAGCCTAATCGGCGCTGGTTCCAGCAGCTCCTCGCCCATGGTTCGGTCGGTTGGTAGAACCAAGTTTTCTCGGATAAGGACTTAAAATGGAGGTTTAGTGTATACATCTGGCTCGTGTGCACTTTAAAGAACCCATTGCATCTTTCGGAAGAGTAGAGGGTTCCCCGATGTTATGGTTCATTCCAGCCCCTGTCGTTGTGGAATGATGTGAGCATCATGTATCTACCATGAAGCGCCTATTTACGGCTGCTAGGTAGTCACGGACCACGCCCATACGCAATTCAGCACAATGACGCTGCAAGATAGGTTATTCTCCTACCCTTTACATGCAGTTCTGTCACTGACTACCTCTGAAATAGACGTTTTTTTCTTTATATTTTGGGTGGCAATACCTTCACTTTTAAATCTACTTATTGCACTTGTTCTGTATATTATTTTGTTACATAAAGTAATTATGGTTATGTAGGGAATTGATCCGTTATTTCGTTCTATCTTTAAAAGGATACCGTAAAACTTCGAATTGAAGCCGAATGGGCTTTAATCTACAGATGAAGCCCATCTTAAATTGAAGCCCCCTGTTCAGTTAGCCTCGGAAAGAAGCCCATGGGATTCTTTTCAAAATAGCATAGGCTTCTTTTCGAAATAGTACAGTACATCCTGTACATGAATTTCAAAAAACAAAATAAATTGAAAACAATCTTGGTTTATAAACAGTAGTTTTGGTGAATTAGAGTAATGCCAATTATATACTACTCCATGATACAGATTGATGTAACAGTGACCTTAGTTGTTTTATAGTACAAATTCACAAAATTTACATCATTCATTTTGAAAAGAAGCCCCCTCTTTATTTTGCAAAAGTAGCCTCGAAAAGAAGCCCATCTAAAGTTTAAAAAAAAGCCCTGGGCTTCAATTCGAGGTTTTACGGTATTCCAATGCAGAGTTTTAACTGGTGGTCATGCCTTAAAGTTAGTTTTTAAACTTAATGGTTTTATTTACAACCTTTTTAAATTGATTTACTTTTACACTGTGTACTATTGAATAGTATTCTTTGTTATTGCTGTGGGCTCATCTAAGTTCAACATGATATTTTATGTCTTTTGTTTAAGGGAAAAAAAGCAAAAAAAAAAACAATGTGGCCTATTATAGTGAATATAAAAACGCCTTGGCAAACATGAGTATGTTATTAACAGAAAGGTCCATGTTAAATGCAATGTTCATCATTACAATCGAAAGGTCAATGATCATGTAAATTAGATCTTTCGATTTTTCATGTTAATATGCATACGTATTGAAACTAGTAATTAATCCTGATTGACTGTTGTGGTCTGTAACTTTGTTTCTATTCTGAACAAATAAAAATTACGATCACCAATGAGGGCGGTATACCATGTAACACAATGCATACTGACCCTCTGACGTGTACTCTCTGCAGGTGGACTTGTACTCTGGCGGTATATTCATCCAACAAGCTTTACATTGGGACCTCTATCCTTCTATTTTGACTTTGCTTGGAATAACAGCCTTGTATACGATCACTGGTGAGACAAAAACAAAATTGAACGTTGTTTAATGTAAGGTCGCTTTAGATATAGAAGTATTTGCAGTCCTGTGCAATTTGAAGTCAGATATTTATATAGTTGTTTATACAAAAATTGTGTTGCATGCAAATCCTTTTATTAGACAAATAAAATGTCCTCTTGGTGTGACCATAATCGATGTTGTTAACAGAATGAACCTTTCCGCTAAGCCTTGCCCCTTAGGTATAGTTGTTTCACATAACACAAAATGAACGCCTGTAAACAGGTGTGTTTGTGGGACATGCGCGTATTTGTGACCGATTGGTCAATTGTAAAGTTTAATTGATACTCTGGGAGGGTCTATTGGATGTGCTCAGCGCATAAGATACCAAATTGTGACGTTGTAGAATGTCCATTTTTGACAAATAATCATATTAATAGCAGGTGTACATCTCTTTTTTTCATTTCTTATTACAGGTGGATTGGCTGCCGTTATCTACACTGACACACTCCAGGCGTTCGTCATGGTAATAGGCGCTTGTATATTATCAATACTTAGTAAGTAAATAAATTGAGCTGTTGGTGGAACAATACATAAATTTCACGGGTATAAATCTTTAAACTTGTTGGGTTTTTGTTAAGAGTCATTTAGTCGTCATTTAATTAACTTCTGATAGTTGTGTGGTAAATTCAGAACTTTCCTCTTTGTAAGTCAATAATCAGGTTGCCAAAGCGACAATTCAAATCCTTTGAATGTTTAATTTTTTTTATTTTCTTTTTGTATGATAATTATATTATATCTTGGTCGAAAATGTAATTAATCAAATCAAATCAAATTAAATCAAAACGTGTAATCCACCCGCCTTATTTAACACGTTTTCAATTGAGGTGGTGGATGAGGATTATCAGTACTAAATTAAGTTTTAAAAGATCGATATTTAAGCTATACCGTACAATATTAACTTTATTGATACTTTTACCTACCTACAGGCTTTAAAGAAATAGGCGGATATAAAAACTTCGAATTGCGTTACATGCAAGCGTATCCGAACGAAACTTTATATAATGACGACCCGTGTGGATTTCCGAAAGATGATTCGTTTAACATGGTACGTGACGCTAGGGGATCCGATATACCATGGCCAGGATTTCTTTTCGGCCAATCAGCAGCATCCATTTGGTATTGGGCTACAGATCAAGTAAGTAAATTTCTAGCAAAGGGACCGAATTCTGAATTTTATTATTTTTATGTTTATTAAAATCATAAGAAATATTCATTATAATAAATACAATTTTGGTATTTATATTGACAATTATGACATGTAATAATTATTGAAATATAGTAAAGTATAACTATCAACATTAATTATAACTATATAGGCCTATACCGTATAGTTTAAAAACTATGTACTATAATAAAATAATCTAAAAAATTACATTTAATCATACATAGATATCAATCTACATATAATTATCAATTTCACCTTTACTTTAATTTGTCTAATACATCCAAGGTCATAGTTCAGAGGACACTGGCGTCAAAGAATCTATCACATGGACAGGGAGGTACCCTATTGGCTGGCTTCTTGAAAGTCCTGCCGCTATTCATCATCGTGATGCCGGGTATGATCAGCAGAATATTGTTTCCAGGTAGGAGATTTAATTTAAATCAATTATCGAAGAGATAAATCACACACACATACAAACAAGCAAATATACCCCACACACCGCAGCAGTACAGCCTATCAATGAAAAGTTCCTAATTATTGTTATAAAAAGTTCCCCTGGCGGGAATCGAACCTGCGATCTCTGGCCGTCAATGCGAGTGTCATACCACTAGACCACAAATACGCCACGTCAGGTTATATACTTACTGAAGATGACTATGTGATACAGCAGAAACATGTTTGTATTAAATCTTGGTTTATTGCCTTTAAATTTGTGTTGTTTATTATATCATGTCTATCTATTATGTCCTTTATTCGAACACTGTATTTACCTTTCTTTGATGATTTATATATAATTTAACAGTGTTAACGGCTATC